CCGCCACCTCCTTAATGGACGGGTGGGTCACGAAAATGGACTCCAATTCCGTGGGCGACACCTGACACCCGTCCGTCTTTAGTAACTGTTTAATGCGGTCCACGATATACAGGTTACCATGGTCATCGTAGTAACCCAGGTCACCCGTATGTATGTAATTGTCACCATCGATGGTCTCATTGGTGGCCACAATGTTGTTGTGATAACCTGTTTAGTAATCATTATACAGTCTGCCCCCGCAATAAGGTAACTCGGTATAAGGTAAACCCCGTGATAAGGTGCATAGGTTTACTGCACCGTCAGCTCCTATGGGCTATTAACGCTAAAATCCCCCGATATAAGGTACCTCAAAATAACGTAAACCTCGAGATAACGCATACATATTTTTGGCAAATTTGATGTTTTCCCTCGAAATAAGGTAATGTCATGTGCGCTAAACTGTAAAACAAATTAATTTTTGATTTCAATAAAATATTTTGCAAATAAAAACATTATTTGATATAAAAATGTCGGACAAGAGGAGTCGAAACCGCTTTTCTTTGCAAACAAAGTATAAAATAGTGACATTAGTTGAGAATCAAGTGCCGAACAATGAGATAATCAGTCAATTCAGTGACCAGAAGGTTACCACAAGAAATATCAATGATTTTGTGAAACAGAAAAGTAAGATAATCAGTGAATATGAAGGCTCGATGTCATCAAAGGTCAAGTCTATGCGAAAGGGTTTGTATCCCTTACTCGACGACGCTTTGGTTAAATTCATATCAAATTCAGTGGCAAATGGTTTACCGATAAATACAGACCTCATTCAAGCAAAGGCATTGGAGTTGGCGCCGACTTTTGGTTACAATAACTTCAGTGCAAGCAATGGATATGTGTTTCGATTTAAGGAACGAAATGACGTTATTTTTAAGACAATTCATGGCGAGTCTGGAGGTGTTTCAGATGACTTGTGCACAGATTGGGTCGACACAAAGTTACCACGACTACTCGATGGCTATTCACCGAAAGATATCTTTAACGGGGATGAGTTTGGGCTGTTCTGGAGGTTACCACCAAACAAGTCATTCATTATAAAAGGACAGACCTTTAAAAACGGAAAGAAAAGCAAAGAGAGAATTTCTGTCTTTGTTTGTGCTAACAGTTTAGGCACAGAAAAGCTTAAACCCATTGCTATCGGGAAGTCACGAGAGCCCCGATGTTTTCGTGGTAAATATGGCCTACCAGTCGTATACAAGAACTCAGAGAATGCCTGGATGACATCAGAGATATTTGAGGTATTTTATTACTTGTAATACAGTATTAATGCTTATTTTAATTGAAATATTTTTATGAAATTTAGGAATTTCTCAGAAAATTAAACAAACGATTGATAAGAGAAGAGAGAAAAATTGCACTAATTATCGACAATTGCTCAGCTCATCCCAAACTATTGCTCACTAATATTAAACTAATATTTCTGCCGCCTAACGCCACTTCCCGACTACAGCCTATGGACATGGGTGTGATTCATGCGGTTAAATCTAATTACCGGAAACGACTTGTCAGGCGTATGATAGCATTGTTTGAGTCCAAAAACTGTTTTACCGCCAATGATATCAACTTATATGAAGCCTTGATTATGTTATCAAACTCATGGGATGACATTAGTCTAAACAGTATTAAAAATTGTTTCCGAAAAAGTGGTATTGTATTCAATGAAGACATTGCAAACACAATAGAAACTGAAGACAATATTACGGAATCTAATGAAATTCCAATAGAAGTGGGTTCTGATTGGGTTGAGCTTATGAGTGGACTAAATCTAGTTGATTATGAATTCACTGATTTTGTATCATTTGATGATAACATTGCTGTTTCTGATCAATCACTTGAACCAAACCAAGAAGCAAACGATAATAGCATTGAATCAAATGTTATGGAGATTTCGGAGTCTGAGGAAGAGATGGAAATCACAAGTGAAGACCCGTTGAAACTAAACGATGCAATCATTTCTATAAACAAAATCAGGCAATACTTATCGCAAACAAATGGAACTGATTTATCATTTAATTTAATAAATTCATTAGAAAATGAATTATATAAGAATCGAAAGCCTGTTCAGCGTAAAATTACTGATTATTTTAATAAAAATCCACTTTAAAATAAATTTTAATGTATAATTATTTACCTCGAAATAAGGTAGACCTCGAGATAAGGTAAGAATTTATTTTGCACCGATGAAAACGTTATCTCGGGGGTAGACTGTATTATGATTATAATTATTATTATTATAAATTAATAATTATGTATATTATTACTCAATAGTACGTAAACAGCACTATATCTGTATACTGTGCACATACTTATTGAGTTGACCCTTAAATATGTTGATAAAATGTAACTGCAATTAAATCTTGAGAACTAATCATTTGAAAAGTTTTAATAACTTTGAGAAATAAAAAGTTTTATTTTAACGTCATTTGTGAGCATAAAAGGTGTAAACAATCGGTCGATTGTTTTGAGAGAAAACATATTTAAATGAATAAATTGTTTGCAATTTCGTGTCAATTATAGCACAAAATGAGTGAACCTTTCGCCGATTTATTGCAATTAAGTCGCGAAGAGTTATATTCAATGATAACTGCATTCAGACGTCAAATCAATTGTTTGTCAACAGATTTGTCACGATTTGAAAGTCTGTTAAATAAATGTCACAAATGTTTATCACATTTAGTGAATACAAAACTAATTGATTTCCTATTAATACAAGAGTTGTTGGATTTGATTGACACGAACAGGAGTGTCACCAATAGATCCACTGATGGACAGGCAGTCATCGGTGGTCACAGTGTTGGTGATAATGACCACAACTTTGGTCACGAAAATGACTTCAATTTTATCGGTCATTCAAATGGTAAGTAAAATGAGTTTTGAAAACAATTTTGAAATTTAGTGTCATTTGTATGACTAGTGTTGGGATCAATTGGTGGCCACAGAAGTGATGATCAGAACAATGGCGAGTCTATTGGTGACGAAGAAGTCAGTATTGAATGCATTATCAAAAGGGAACCAATCGATGATATTTTCGATGATATAATCGGCGGAAATATTGGTGAAAGTGATGGCAAGTCTTGTGCCAAACCTCTACCTAAACCTAAACCTAAACCCCAATCCAAATCCAAATCCCAGTGCAAACCCGACCCCTATAAGCGACTCAAACCCGGACCCATCCCCGGGATCTACCGGTGCTCTGTGAGGGGCTGTGGAGACAGCTTTAAGTCTCAGAGCCAACTGCGAAGACACCATTTGGTGCACTCGGCCGACAAGAACTCAGTGCTTCTGTGCCCCGAAAGGGGCTGTTTGTACGCCACTCAAGACAAGCACAACATGGAGAAGCACTCGACCACCCATTCCGATGAACGCCAGTTCCACTGCTCACACCCGGGTTGCGACCACTCCACCAAACGTAAGAGCGATTTGACGGCACATGAGCTCAAAGCACATCCCGAGGACTACCCACACATGCCATGGATTCAGTGCTCGCATACCGGCTGCGAGTTTAAGACCAAACACACGAATACCATGACTCAGCACACGTTCTCACATACCCGGCCATTCCAGTGCACCCAATGTGGACAGGCGTTCACATCTAATTACGGACTTCAGGTTCACTTCATGAGAGCTCATCACAAGGTGTTGAGACGGGGTAACCGACGGCCCATAAGCCGTATAACTGGTCCCAAAGTACGGGCGAAGAGACAGACTGTTGTTAAGGCTGAACAACCATCTGAAGAACCGTTTGAAGAGCAGTCTGAAGACATGAATACAAATGAAAAACATTTGGAAAGCGATTCAATCGTGAAGACAGCGGACGGACGCTTTGTATGCGATTATATCGGTTGCGGAAAAACATTCATTAAAAAGTCATATTTAAAGTCACATCTATTGACACACTCTTCGGAGACCTTCCGGTGCGATGTGGAGGGCTGTACGGCGGAGTACCCCCGACCCGACACGTTAAGGCTCCACAAAGAGGCCAAACACTCGTCAGTGGAGTACCGGTGCGATAAGGAAGGGTGTGATTATGTAACTACTGTTAGGGCTATGTTTAGGAAACATAAGTTCAAACACATGGCGCGGACCTTACGGTGCGATTTTGAGGGCTGTTCGCGGAGTTATAGTGATCCAAGTAAACTGAATCAACATAAAAAGGTCACTCACGGCACCAAATATCGGTGCGACGGTCAGGGATGTGAATACCACACCGGCTGTAAAAAGGCATTAACTAAACACAAATTAACGCATTCAATGGAACGGCAGTTCAAATGTCCGGTGGACGGGTGCCTCCAGTCGTTTAAACGTATTTATGACTGCAATGAGCATAAGCTGACTAAACATCCCGAAGCCTTTCCAGACGTCCCGTGGTCTCAGTGCCCGGAAACTGACTGTCCGTATAGGACTAAATCGAGTTGGGCTTTGAAGGCGCACGTGAAACAGCACACCAAACACTACCGGTGCGATGTGTGCGGCAAAGAGTTCACGCATTTGTCTCAATACAAACTCCATGAGCCCATACATAACGACGAGTTGAAGCACCCGTGCGAATGGCCCGGTTGTGAGGAGAGGTTCTCCAGTAAAGCTAATCTCTTGAATCATATGGACAACCATTCGGGTGAACTCAAGTACCAGTGCTCGTGGCCGGGCTGTCATCGCAAGTTTGTCACTAGAAGTTCACTCAATTCGCATCAACTGAGACACAAAAAGCCCGATAAGTACCCGTGTCAGTGGCCCGGGTGTGGACAACAACTGGCCACCAGTAGTGCGCTGGCGAGACATATGTCGGCTCATACCGGTCGCCGCAAATACCGGTGCCATTGGCCCGGATGTGATTACAACACTCACGACACGAAAAGTCTTAAAAATCATATCAATCGACAGCATAGAGCCTGAAAACTCATTGAAACTACCGGCGCTCTAAATATATTATATAATTGAATAAATATCTTGATTTTAAATACCTTTGAAAAGTGTGGGTCCCGTCACACATATCTCTCCGTTACAATTAGGGGGTAATACCTCTCCAGTGGTGCAGTCGATGACTTTAATACGATTTCCAGGCGTAGGGTCGCCCACACTCTCGTAATCCCGGCGCCCGTAGTGGCCGAACGCAATCAAAATAGTCATTTCGGTCATACCGTACGACTGGCGGAAGTCCTCGAAATGCGGGTATTTGTGTGCAATCTGTTGGGCACAGCCTTTGGGAAGGGGAGCACCGCCACAGATTAATTTTCGCAGGGTGCTTATGTCGTACTCTGTGCCCGCTTTCAATAGTGTCATGTAAACAGATGCCGGCGCCGATAGGGCTGTTATGCCATGCTTTTCGATGGCCTCGAACAGTGTGTTTAAGTTGAATACCGGGTGTAACACCAGTTGTGACCCATTATTGATAGACATTATGAGCTGATTGACACCCGATATATGGGCCATATATGAGTGTCCGGACACTATGTCTTCGGCGGTACGGTTGTATACCAGAGATCCGATGGTTACCAATGACACCAAATTGTAGTGCGAAAACATACAGCCCTTTGGCAGACCTTTTGTGTGTGGAAATGGTTATTGAATTGAAGTTTTGGTGTAATTCAATTTGATTGTAACATATGGCCCGACATTGGATCAGAAAATTGAATAAAAATGAATTTCTTACTCAATATTTTGCATAAAATTTTATTAGAAAGGGAGAGAGAGAGAGAGAGAGAGAGAGAGAGAGAGAGAGAGAGTTTTATTAAGAAGTAGACTGACCTGTAGTTCCACTGGACTCTAATATAAGGCAAATATCTTGCATAACATCTTTAGGTTCGTGTATTAGATCTTCACTTATGGCTCGAGTACTGGAGATTAGGTTCTCGTAGACCCAGAAATGTGTCTCATTTTGATGATCACTTTCGCTGCCAAACACTATTCCCATCTATTCATACAAAACTGGTTTATATAAAGAATATTCTTTACAATTGTATTAAATCTTACGATATTGTCGTAGAAGTCGTGACTTTTGATTTGCCGTAACTTTTCTCCACTCAATGCTATTAACGATATTTCCCTCTCTTTTAAGGTTCGCTTGAATTCGTCTCAAATATTACATAAAAATTAATTCAATTTATGACAAAAACTAAATAAGTATTCATACCTATAGTGTCGGTGCCTCTCATGGGAATGGCTATCGCGCCGATTATTATGCCTATAATAGAGAAATATAAATTAGTTTTAGAAATTCAATTAAAAGTGTTTTGAAGTACCGGACAGAAAGCAAACCATATATTCATAGCTATTATGACCGCAAATCCCAAATGTTTGGCCAACTCTTAAGCCGATGTCTTTCCATACATTTGCCGCACGAAGACAATCGTCTGCCAATTGATTGAATGTAAAACTTCTTTGTGTCTGATATTCAATCTGTGGTCACGTTTCAGTAATAATTATCTTAAGAAATACAATACTAATGAAAACCTATACATACCATAAATACATTATCTCCGAAATGTCTCAACCGATTGATCAGTAATTTTGATATTGAAGTCAATGGTATGTCCACTGATGACAATTTGTTGGTCAATATTGTGGCACACATTTTTGATTTGGGTATTTAATATCGTTTTTATTAAATAAGTTAAAATTTAATAGATTTAATAGGATTTATTCTTAATGTTAATTATTAAAACAAGTTTGTCTGTGTTTCACAATATACTACAAGTGAAAGAATTATGTAATTTAAGTTTTATAAGAAATAAATTATTTATTTATCAATAGTTTAATAACTTTTTTACTGATACATGAAATAAACAATTTTTGTAAAATTTACAAACTTTATGTTTAATATTCTCTAATCAAATATAAAAATATAATAACATTATTATCTAAATAATGGTTGAATACAAAACTCAATTGAAGGACATGAATATTTCAAGGCAATGAATTTTCTCATCCCTTTCCCCTAAAATTAATAATAATAAATGTTTGCTTACAACAGATATTTACAGTATAATACTGTAGTGACTTGCAATATAATATAAATAAATTATGTATTACATTCTGTATAATATAAATAATAAATTATGAGCTGGACAAATATATTTGAATATTTTTATGCAATCTAGGCTATGGTTTCACAGAATATCTAGGAGAAAATATACTCATTAACATAATTAAGCCGAAATTTATTATTGTATTATATTTTTATCACCTATTACAGTAAATTTTAATGCAATTTTTAAAACTAAATTATTTAAATTAAATTGTTATTAAATTGTTAATAAATTATAATATATTGAAATTTAAAAATTATCCAATTAGCTATTTCTCTCTAAATAAATAAAATAATTAAAACAAAATTATTAAAAATTATCATTTACTCGGTTTATTTACTAAATCAATCAATTGTCGCACTTTTATCTATAATTATCTCTTAAAACATAATAAAAACTTTTGTCAGTTTACGTCTCAGCGATTTCTCATTTGTAATCACTTAATGATTAAAATTAATGATCAAAACCTAAATAATTACAACAAATGTTAGTTTTTAGGGAACAGTCAGTTTGTGAGTTATTTTACAATTAAATGATTATTTTTATCTGACTTGAAATCTGATAAAAATTATTTTTTACTAAAATACATAGCTATTATAATATGGTTTGACGTGTAAATCATTTTTAATTCACACTTATCTTAATAGTTGTCAATGTATTTCTTATTTTTAAATTACATAATTTGAATATTGCAAACATTTTTATGCATTATATTTATTGTATGATAATAATTATCGGTCTCATGAATACAAAAAATACTTAAATAATAATAATAGCCAATATTACTACATTATATTATTATATTTTTCATTATTATGTATGTAATCTAAATCTATGAAAATGTAAACTAAAATATTGTAAAATATATAATTCATAAAAAAGAAACTTTAAAATGATTTGATGTTTGCCATAATAGACCGAAAAAATAACAGAAAACAAGTGAACTAATAGTGAACTGAAAAAATAAATTTCTATTTTAAAAGTTAATCTCATTTTATTTATATATCATATGTTATGTGCAAACAATTGGAGTAACAAAAGACACGATTACTTCACCGAAAAGCTTTTGTTGTGTAAAATATTTATACGATTTTTGTCACACAAAAAAACTACTAAAAACTTAATTATACGACAAAAATATTTTTGAGATCATTAGAGCAAACGTATTGTTAGACTGTTTCACAGATCAGTTAAATACGAGTCCATTAATGAGTTCTTAAGTTTCATAAGACTTTGAGATCGGTTTCAGTTTGTGGTGTCTATTACTCTGCGAGTGTATCAACACAAGGAAAGCCTATTTTCACATATATTTTTAGTTTAATAACGGTTTTTCGGACAAATTATTTGATTTTAAGGTAAAACATTTAAATAGTAACTATTTTATTAAAAATATTTTGAAACTAAATCTATATATAATTTTATAAAACATTAATCTATAATTCAAATGTGTTTTCAATATTGAAAACAATATGATACAAATAGAAAAAACATTTGAATTAACAATAAATCAATTATCAAAACCAATAAAACTTGTGTTTCGGAAATAATTGAACCAAACTTTTGGTCTATGATGTCATGACATCCCTGTGTTTCTATGGATATCAACCAATTAATTATCGTATAATAGGGAACCTGTAGCTCACAGACAAAACGATGACATTTCCTACATTGAACTCACGCGAGGAAGCGGCAAAGATATCGTCCTCAATGGTCAGCGAACTCCGGACTAAGTTCCTGGAAGTGGTGGCAAAGGCTCCGGAACTCTATTACGACAAAGACGTTGAGAAACTCAAGACAAATGACTGGTCACTCCAACGGTTCCTAAACCACAGCAAGTCTAATGTGGATAAAGCTGTTGAATGTCTGGACGAAGCCATGAAGTGGAGGAAGTCGTTCGGTGTCCGCGAGTTAAACGATAAGGACTTCCCTCGTGAGGCCTACCAGAGCGCACCGGTTATACTGTATGGAAAAGATTTGAATGGCAGTCCCCTATTGATTATCAGATCCAAAGTGAACCGTAAGATCAAGTCATGGGTACCGACGGCTCAGAAGTTTTTCGTGCATTTAGTCGAAAAGGCAGACTCTTTGGACACCGGAAAAGGTTTGTCTCATAATTATTGCCATATTATTCTCACGTTTCATATAATTTCCGTGCAATATGTTTGTAAAAATTATTATAATTGCTGTCACATTAATTTTGAATAATTTTATTGGATATTAAGATATGATTAGAATTTAAAATTATTAATACTGGTACTTATGACACTGATTATTATATATATAGAAATATAAATAATAATCAAAAGTTAGTTATTATATGAAATATTTGAAATAGAAAAAGCATATTATACCAGTTTATTATTTTAAATTTGATATTAAAACAAAATAATTATTATATTAAATTAATAAATCTAATAATTTAGGCCTAACTCTACTACTGGACTGTAAGGACTCGGGTGTGAAAAACGCGGACATGGACTTTATGAAGTTCGCGCACCGGGTGCTCAACGACTACTACCCGGGTCTGGTGAACGCGGGCCTGATCTACAAACTGCCCAAAGTTATGGAAGCCATCTATAAACTGGTGAAGTCGTGGCTCAATGAGGAACAGGAGAAGTTCTGTTACCTCATCACCCGTAAGACTATCGGCGAGTATGCCTCCCCTCAAGATTTGCCGGACTTCCTGTTGGGCACCAATCAGGAGCCCTACCGTACGGTACCGGACGGCGCGCCCACCGCTCACGAGTTGGCCGAACGGTTAGGTATTAAAGTAGAAAAGGCCGACAAACTGGTCAAACATTTGGAGCCGTTTTATAATGAATGATCAGGGTACTATTGATATGATGCTCTAGTAACTACTTTTATGGTGATTATAGGAAACTCTTAATCAATTCTATGTTTAACTCATATTTTGTTGTAAATTTTATTTGAATTTTAATACTTATATTAATATTAAAATTATAAATATTTGTATATTTCAATTGATTTTAATAATACAGTTTGTGTTTCTTATATTAAAATATCACTATTTTTCATATTTAAATATTTTTTATTTAAAGCAAATGAATCACAATAACGGTTAAGATTTCAATAAAATATAAAATTTATTTTTATGTCTAAATTCTAACCCTATTTTCGGAATGTATTTCCTTTAATGAAATAAAGTATAAAATCAACTCAAAAGCAAAACATTTGAAAGCAATTTATAAGTCGTGACACAAATTGCTTTCAAAGTGTTGACACAAATCATCGGCACTGATGTCAAGCATAACGTATACGGCGTTCACAGAGGCGGCGGAAATACCGCTAACTCTTATCCAAGAGGTCCGCCAACAGGCTCTACAAGACATCGCCGCAAATCCTGACCTATACTACCAACAGGACAGGGATCTAATCAAGTCATCGAATTGGTGGATTCAACGGTTTTTGTTGATTAGTAAAAGCAATGGGGAATTGGCTCTCAAACGACTACTCCATGCCCTTCAATGGCGTAAAACTTTTGGGGTCCGGGATATGAAGGACACAGACTTCCCTCAAGAGTTGTACAGAAGTGGCTATTGTTTTGTGGCCGGCAAGGACTTAAACGGAGCTACCCTGCTTATATTCAGGGGTAATATTAACCGTCGGATCAAGTCATGGGTGCCAACAACCAAACGCTTCTTTGTGCACCAAATTGAGAAATTGGATCAATTGAATGGTGGAAAAGGTTTGTTCATATATTATCAATTCAAATATACGTTTACTGTTAAAGGACCTTGACTATATACTGTATTAAACATTATAAATGCCATTTACAGCTAAGAAAACAATAGTGAATTTACAATAAAACTAATGATCCTGAATAATAATATCAATTTATTATAAAATAATATAAAACTTCATAGATTTAATAAAATTTCTACTTGATGATTCAATAAGTGGACAGACAAAAATAACCTTAACCATTGGTCATTATGCACATGTACAAATTGTCAAAAATAATTGTTATTAGTTTGAATTGAATTGAATTTTTATAAATAGGTTTAACACTACTAATGGACTGCAAGGGGGCGGGGGTTAAGAACGTGGACTCCGAGGCCTTGCAGTTCATAACGACACTATTCAAGGAGTATTACCCGCGACTCCTCACCTCAACCCTAATCCATAAGTTGCCGGCTGTCTTGGAAACCATCCATAAGTTGGTCCAGTCGTGGCTCAGCGACGACGAGAGAAAGTACCTCCAGTTGACTAACACCAAGAATATCACCAATTATATTGGCCTGGATCAATTGCCCGACTTTATTAAGGGTACTAACACTCGGCCGTATCGCACGATTCCTGAGGGGGCGCCCACTGCCGACCAACTGTCCAAACGGTTGGGTCTTAAGGAGGGAAAGGCCGAGAAGTTTGTCAAACATTATGAACAGTATTTCCAGTGATGTATGAAATATGTTAATAAAAAAGACTTTTGTTTTGCTTATCGTTTGTGATATGATTTGAGAGATGAGTGTAAATGCGGTCCAAAAGTGATTGTCTATCTAATAGACAACTAAATTGTCTATTTATTCACTCATACAATAGACTCTATTATAAGAGTGAATAAATAAAAGGTATTATAATATGAGATATGATTTGATTTTTTGTGGTTATCTTAAAACTTAAGTATATAACACTTATAAAAAATTGTGATTAAAATAACAGTGAATTACAATCGCATTAATGCACACGAAAGTGCAAAAAATATTATAAACTATATTCTAGTGAAACATAATTATTAAAACAAAAACTAACTTTAATTAAAAAGCCTAATAATAATGAAATGCAAAATAGGTATAAAAATTTAAAATAAATTAAAATACTTGACATTTTTCACAACTCATGTACGGCTCGTTTCGCACGGAATTTGAAATAAGATTTATAACGAGTGCTGACAAACATATTTTGATTGATAAGCAGCACAGACACCAATGTGTTCATGGTCATTTATATATAAATGCATTTAACGGTAGCGTTGCATTTGATTTGTAGATAGAGTTCATAATTAGTGTAATTATTAAAGCAATTGATTCATAGAAACTATTAGAAAGTAAGAGTGTATTACCAGGTGAATATTACAACGTTAATTAAAAAACATTATTTTCATTTAAATAATTACTATAAAAATTGCTTAATATTTATTACTCGTTATTAATTAATTAATTATGTATTGAATGTAAATCGTTAGTGAATATCAATGGGGTTTCCAATGTTGGATACCTATGCCAAGAGCATAGAGTCGGTGCCTAAGGAACTGGTGGCTGAGTTGCGCCAAAAAGCGGTGGAGAGGTGTGAGAAAAGTCCCGATTTATACTATAGTGAAGATGTGGAGCGACTGAAACGGGACGACTGGTCTGTGCGCCGGTATCT